CTCCAGTTGCCAAGGTAACCCTGTAATGTATTTCCAACATTGTCATATGTCTATCATTATAACAAGACCCTGTCACCCAATGGCGGCTCTGCTTCCCCGGAGTTCGAGGCTTTGTGAAAGCTCTAATCTTTGAGCTAAAATGGTTGTGTTTGTAACGCAAACCTACTGATATGACTGGCATTTTTTAAGGCTGATACTAATAAAAAAAATCAAAGCTATTGCAGAAGATTAAGCCAATAATTTTATGTATGTTTTCCCCAGATTACTATTCTCATCTGGGAAATAGAGAGCGGGATGAGGATGAAACAGCAGCGAGGCCACAATCGGACAACACTCATCTCCTCACCGCCACCTCAGTGAGATTCAGACCGTCTGACTTTTTCAAGTAGATATCTCACCAGCTGATGGACTAAAACCATTGATTTACAAGACAGAATTATTATATGTACACTCCTCCAGCACCCAATTAACTCACATTACTCATAATATACACACATCCATTCCTAAGTGATTTTTTTTAGAATGACTTGATTTCCTTGGTTGCCTATCGTCTTCACGCTTCTGGAGACAAACACTGCAGATACAGTCCCACAAAAAGCGATCCAGTGGCTGTAGTTTGTTGAGTGTCTGGACGGTACATTCCTCAAAAAACTATTCTTACCCTCACAAAAAAACAAACAAAGTAAACACCTCATGTTGACCCTCTTCACCAAGTCTGTCAGGACATTCTGGGACATGAGGTACATTCTGCTCATGCTCGTCACTATTCAGTCCACAGGATGGTTACAGGAGACAACAGCAACAGGGTTAGTGATGCTGGGTGTTTTGTCAGCCAGTGAAAGTGGATGAACTGTTTACAGATCCAGGTTATCACTAACATTTGGAAAGAGTGGAGGTACAGTGTTACAGGAAGAATTAATATGTCCACACAAAAGCGTAGCAGCCAGATTTTTAGCCTTTCCAAACCTCAAAACACAAGAAACAAAGGTAAGTGATCCCATGGTGAGCAGGCCTCTTGGACCAGTGCATGGACTCACAGGCTGGAGGGTTGGAGGAGGGGGTACAGGTGGCTTACATCTTCAAAATGGGCTTCTGTATGCTAACATAGACAATGAAGAAATGGGTGTAGCTTCCAGGCCTGAAAACTGAAGCCAGCATAGAAGTGCCTTCAACATACATTTTTTTAAAGGGCACCAGGAGGTGACTTCTCTGGCTGCAAAAGGACTTCTGGCCCTAGAGAAGCCTATGGAAAAACATAGCTCAGAGTGTCAGGTCATATCAAATAAACCGTCAGGTCCACGTTGTTAATTGTCAGAAAGGAGAATTATCCAGGGTATACTCACTGGCTAACAAGTTCTGATTGATCAGTTGTCGCATCGAGTTTCAAAACACTGAAAAAGTTCCGCCTAAGGCTTCGTAACGTCATGGTGGCTACATCTATCTTTTATATTGTCTGTGCACTAGCTTGTATTGTAACCTCATTAAATAGCTGCAATCTCGCTGGCTATTGTTGTTTTGTTTGGTTACCTTTGTTAATCTGGATTTGAAGTTGGACTTTAATAACAAATAAAGGATGGCGAATATGTAAAAAATATATAGGTGCGCCACCTTTTTTATATATCTGCTCAGCTGGATAACTAGTTTACTAGTATTAAAGCAGACTAAGAGACAGATGGCACTAAATTAATCCAGAGTATGTGGGAGAAACAGAAACAATGGTGGCTAATGGAGAACAAAAATCCCATTTTTGTGGCAAAAATCAACAAACGTTTTAAAGTTTTTTTTAAATCAGGGTTTACAGGTGATTTTTAATGTCTTAAGATAATTTAGATAATGATTCAACATAAATACCCACTTTACCCCCTTTAAAGTCTTTGCTGGGTGGTCTTAAAACACGGCCACTAAAAACATAAAAATCACCAAACACTGGTTAGCCCTGATGCGAGCCTTCTCTCATGTGGGCTAACATTAAAAGTCCAATATTAACAGCTGAATGTCAGATAGGATTTATACTGATTCCATGTGTTTTTTTTCCCCAAGCTTTAAAGAGGGTTGCATCAAAATACCTTTTACTTTTAACGCTTTACAGGATTTTTGTTGGAGCTAATTAACTTTGCCCTCAGTACAAAAATAATTTTCTTTTGTGAAAAAGTTAGCATTCTCAGTAGCTGTAGAGGATGGTAACCTTCTTGTTTTTAGCTAGTTATGAGGGTATATTTGAGAACCTTTCACAAGGTTTTTGTTTCAAAATTGAATGACCCCATAAAAATACTAACCACAGCTGTTGTTTGAACTAAAGTTTGTTGGCCAGGAATCAATCAGATTAGTGCACGCTTCTGTATAAAGGTAAATATTTTTCAGAGTAAATTTTCAGTAATATTAGATTATAGCCATAGAGTATGGTGAAATACAAAAGGTAATATATTTAATGCAAAGTGAGATTAGATTGGGTTTAAGTGTTATTAGTGTCATTAGAAAGGGATTAATGAGTCCAATATGAAAAAAACTGTCTTTGTAGTATTATCACATAAAGTCAGTCAGAGGATTATTGTTTGATGGCTACATGGTTGCTTGGTATTTATGATTATGAATTATTGTTTATAGGATCTGTACTGAGTGGATATTTGGGATAAGACATGAAAAAACAAACATAAATGTGAGGAATATCTATTCAGGCAAAGTGGTATAAAAACTGAAGATTTCTATGGCCTGATAAGATACCTGAAGTGAGCCTGTTGGACAGCACAGAGGGCCTGTCCATTGCAGAATCTAGATCAGATCCAATTATAAAGGCTCTGTGAAGCCATGGGAGTCAGCCACAGTGGATTTCTCTGACAGTGGCAGCTATTTGTCTATTCATGTGGTGTTGAAAGGAATTGGAAAAATTAGCTACCAACTGCAAAACATGCCCTGAAGTTACAACAACTCTGAATGTCTGCAAAAATGTTGCTTCGAGACAAATGAAACAAAGTGTTTGGCTTATACTGAGAAATCTTTGATTAGTGGTGCAAATTCACATTTTCATACACATTTGTGATGAAAATTAATTTTGGAAATGTTTTCTTTATTAATTTGCCATAACTTTGGATAACAAGTCAGGTAAATCCATATTAATTCATTATAGCTATGAATATGTGTGTACTTTTTAAAGCACTTAGTAAGAAAATACAACATGTCTTCTTTGTAGCACTCATGTTGTTTTCACATTAAATGCTATAGGCTACATGAACAGCGGAAGTCGGAAGAACAATTTTCCCAACTGGGACCATCTAAGGAGGATGTGAATGCACAGTAGTAGCTGCACTATGTAATGTCGATGATATACTGTTATGCAGTGATTCTTTATTTACATTTTGATAGCTGTCTCTTAGGCTCCTAACTTTTGGGGACACTGGCTGGGTCGCTTTCTTCATGAGAAGTTGAAACCACTCCCACATCTGTACACTTAGTTAAACAAGAAGCCACTGCAAACCAGATGTCAATTAGCTTAGCTTAGCGTGAAGACTGGAAGCAGGTACCCTACAACAAAATCTGTTTGGGGCAGTGTAGCGGCAACGCCTCCTCCTGGTCTCTTACATTTGCTCGACATTTAAAAATAAAAACATAAAAGAGAAAGCCCAGTCAAAGCAGCATTATAAAACATTATAATGTACCTCACATGTATGACATCACCTCCACATTTTTCTATAATGTTACTATAACGTTGCAAAATAGTCTGGTTATTTTGCTACAAGAGAAGCATACAAACTTACCAAGTTCTTATGACAAAATGTAACAACGTGGAATTATGTAATATGTTTGTTGGGTAGTAACATAATAGTCTGCCGAAAGGTAGCAAAATATTAACGTTACAGTCTAGAAAAACTTGTATCAGACCCCACCTTATTAAAAACGTTTAGAAAATTTCCTGTTTCTCTGAATTAATAAATAATACAGCTGGAAAATATTGCATGGTCATCCTATCTTGATAGACATAGCGGTGATAGATATCGGTGTTATCCATAAGTAAGCATCAGTAAGATGAGCCAATCAGCTGCTGGTAATAGCTTCATATTTATCAGACAGATGTGAGAGTGGTATCCATACTTTTATTTTGGCAAAATAAAACTGTTAATCTCTTTTGCTGTTAGAGCCTCGTGATATGACTGGGCTGAACGCACAAGCTAGACTTGTCTTTAATGGTGATAGGAAATAATGAGTGACTGGGAGTGCATAAAGGACATGGAGCTCAGTAACTCAGTAATATGGAAGGTATGGAATACCTGTGGGAAAAATGCTTTTCTTCACTGGGTTTTCTGTAAAAAACAAAAACAACCAAAACTATGATGAAATTGTTTTGTTTTTTTTGTTTTTTTAAACCCGCTCTAAAAACCCCATTATCTCAGGAGCATATCACCATCTGGACTACATGAAGAATTTATTCAGGTAAGTGACTGCTAATCTTTTATAATCCGGTGCTAAGTGCTTTTATCTGTAGACAAATGTGGCTGGATAATGGCTGGGTCATTGACTGAATTGGAGGGGGCAGAACAGTGTGTGCTTCCAGTCCGAGAAACCAGGAGCAACAATTGTTCCGGCCTCTGCTTACGAATGTTATTCATCTGCCACCGAGGGATTGTTGAGGAGACAGAGAGGCAGGCTGCGCTATTAGAGCTTAATTTAATGCTGGGTCGCTCGACATTCTCAGTAGCTTACTCAGAAGAAAAGATGATATGTGACACCTCGCCGTGCATTTATACCTGGGTATGACTGCACAGTGAGATGCAGAATTTAAAAAAAGAAAACAGTCTGTGGATGATTACACTTAAAAGCATGAAGTTCAGTTAGAGCTACGGAGATAGATTTGAC